ATGCCTGGGTGAATGCCATGTGTTCGCAAACAAGACTGTGTTTTCTTCTATACAGAATTTAGCTGTTTCAGCAATGTTTAATCAACCAGCACTGACCTTTCTTCTCAATGCTGCAAATTCATTTTCAATAAATGTTTAACTACTGATTTCTAAAGGGACAGATTTGTAACATGTAGAATCTACTTTTACTCTTGCACTGATTTTATAGTTACTACACAGCATGGTTGCTGTAGGGCTGCACATATGTTTTAGGAGGTTTAAAATTCTTCATCTGAATTCCAAATACTGTTGCAAGTAAAAGTATGTGAATCTTTCTGAATTTCATGGTGTTCTGCATTCATTTGGGGGCTGCATTCATTTGGGCTGCTTTCATTTGGAGGGCTGGACTAGATGATCTTTTGAGGTCCCTTCCAGCCCCTAACATTCTGTGGTTCTATGATTTGTCATAAAATGTGATCTAACTGTCATTTAAGTTGAGAGTATTGACAAATAATAATGTGCCTAAAATAATAACACAAGAGCAATCCTGATCCTTCATGTCTTTATTGAATACACTCATTCAGCATTCAAAATGCTAGTGGAAAAAGTAAGTGAACCTTGAGCTGACCCCAAAAAAGCTAATCAGAGTCAGGATAACCTGGAGTCTTGTTAAGAAAAGGAGTTTGGAGGTGTGGACTAGAGCTACATCGACTGATAAAACCCACTCAGATTTTTTAAGTTTGCTCCACACAGGATGTATACTTATGTGAGCCATGCCTTGCCAAAAAGGCCAAACTTTTAGAGGATCTATGATCAAGAACTGTAGATTTATATGAAGTTGAAAAGGGTTACAAAATGATTGGAAAGACCTTAGAAATTGACCAGTCTACAGTTAGGCAAATGATCTACGAATGGAGACACTTTGGGACTGTGGCTACTCTGCCAAGAAGTGGGTGCTGATTCAAAATGAACCCAAGAGCACAACAAAGACTCATCAATGAGGTAAAGAAACAACCCCGCGTGACAGCCAGAGAGTTGAAGGCATCACTGGAACTGGCTAACACCTGTGTTCATACAGTACATGAAACATCCATCAAGCAGGGTGTCTACGACAGGACACCATGAAGGAAGCGCTGCTTACTACAAAGAACACTGCTGCATGCCTGAGGTTTGCAAAACAGGCCAGTGACACTGCACAGTGATATTGGCAAAATGTTTTTTGCACTGATGGAAGAAAGACTGAACTATTTGGAAAGAACACGCAGCACTACATCTGGTGTAAAAAGGGCACTGCATACCATCAGGAAAACATCATCCCAACCATAAAGTATGGTGGAGGAAACACCATGATTTGGGCCTGCTTTGCTGCCTCAGGGCCTGGTCAGCTTGCAGGCATTGAGGGGAACATGGATTCCCAAGTGTATAAAAAATTATTCAGGATAATACGAGACTGTCTGTATGTCAAGTGAAACTCTGTAGACGTTGGGTGATGCAACAGGACAATGACCCAACACACCACAGCAAGTCCACAACTGAATGGCTTCAGAAAAACAAAACCCACCTTTTGGAGTGGCCAAGTTGGAGCTCAGACCTCAACCCAACAGAGATGCTGTGGAATGACTTAAAGAGAGCCACACACATGAAACGTCCAAAGAATATGACAGAGCTAAAGCAGTTCTGCCAGGAAGAATGGGCTAAAATCCCTCCTGAACGATGTGCATCTCTGACCCACAGCCACAGGAAGTGCCTGGTTGAGGTTATTGCTGCCAAGTGGGGTCAATCAGGTATTGATTCCAAGGGTTCACCTGCTTTTTCCACTAACGTTTCAAAACACCATGAAATTCGGAAAGGTTCACATACTTTTACTTGCAACTGTACATTTTTGACACTTGTGCTATCTCTCTTTTCATTTTACCTGTGACATCTTCATATATTGTCCTAAGATACATAAAAATGCTTACAAAGAGGAATAAAAATAAGCCCATAGTATAGCACTGGCTAAGATGGTGACCTTTTCTCTTAACAAATTCATGTTTGAGAATTGACCAGAATAATCTCAGGATATACCTGTAGTGCGGCCTCTACCTAGTACAAACACACTTGGACAGCTTGTTTAGATAGCCAGTTGCAACAGCATGGAACTCACTGTGATTCTGCCTGAAAAGTTGGGTAAGTATCAGGCAATTTGTGGCACTAAGTTCTTGCAACTTGTCTACCCTCAACCATTAGATATTAATTATTTTATGATGTCAGCTCAACTTTCTACACTACAGTGAAATCCCAGAAGTGACCAATGTGTACACATATTCTAAGGCCAGGGGTGTAGCAATGGGTTAAGCAATCTTATATTGAGTTACCTTGACTGCAGAAGATTATGAGCATGTTATATCTATTAAAAATAATGGCACTACTTCCCCACAAAGGAAAATGCTCATCTAGATGGACCATTGTGAAACCAGCATTTCAAATCATTGCTATTTCAGTCCACAGATTACACATTTCTAGCCAGCTTCTGTGGTAGGAACGATCCTGCTGACCTCACCAACTCCGAAAGTGCATGAGTTTCAGCTCAGAACTTGGGAAGAATATGCATATGCCTGTGTGTAAGGTGGAAGAGGTAAGTTGTCCTCAGGCATGAATAGCAAAACCTTAGGGTGTAACCATTTTGAACTTATCTTGGCTATTTTCACTGTATTATTACTGTTATAATGAAGGAATAGAGGGCATCCCTGCAGAGGACTTGGGAGTACTGATGGATGGAAAGCTGGACATGAGCCAGCAACGTGCTCTTGCAGCCCAGAAGGGCAATGATATCTTGGCCTGCATCAAAAGAAGTGTGGCCAGCAGGTCGAGGGAGGTGATTCTGTCTCTCTACTCTGCTCTGGTGAGACCTCTGCCTCCACCTGCATTACCATCTCTGGGATCCTCAGCACAGGAACGACATGGACCTGTTTGAGAGGGTCCAGAGGAGGGCCACAAAAATGATCAGAAGGTTGGATCATGTCTCCTATGAAGACAGGCTGAGGGTTTTCAGCCTGGAGAAGAGAAGGCTTCAGGAAGACCTTATTGCAGCATTTCAGTACTTAAAGGGGGGCTTTAAGAAAGATGGGGATAATTTTTTAGCAGTTTCTTGCAATAGTACAAGGTTAATGGTTTTAACTAAACGAGGATAAACTTGGGCTAGATATAAGGAAGAAGTTCTTTACCCTGAGGGTGCTGAAACGCTGAAACACTGAAACAGGTTGCCCTGAGAGGTGATAGAAGCCCTGATCCTGGAAACATTCAAGGTCAGGTTGAACAAGGCTCTGAGCAACCTGATCTGGTTGAAGATGTCCCTGCCCACTGTAGGGTGGTTGGACTAGATGACCCTTAAAAGTCCCTTCCATCCCCAGACATTCTATGATTCTATGATTCTCTTACTTTACACTGAAGTACAGCTCTTTCTGTGCGTTACTAATGTATTTGTTAGGGTCTTCACAATTAAGATTTTTTTTCCAAATCAGGAGATCAGAAGTTTGTTAACATATATATGCAGGCTATTCTAGCCTACTTGTTTCTACCTGGAATTTTATGGGATCTTTGCTATTAATTGTTCCTAACTACTACGAGTGAAGTAGCTACTATAGGGGATTTAAAGTACTGTCTAGTCCTAAAGAAAGAGATAATTTCAATGTTTTGTAAATTTTCCAAAAGCCACCTGCTGCTCCAAGAGTGTTCTTATGATGCTGGGCTGGTAATCGCTTGCCACAGGCTGTAGTATCCCATTTAGAAGAGTATTGCAGCTACATGTATCTAATATCTTCAGGACTGTCTGATTCCGGAGATGGCTAAATTAGGCTAAAGTTTTATGCACTTGCAAGAAGAGATATTTACACATACCTTTGAAGTATATAATGTATAGATATGCAATGTGGTTTGCATGAAGAAAGAGCATATGTATGCAAAGAAGTGCACATTTTAGAAGATTTTTGTTCTGCATTTGACAACACCTGGAATGAATTCTGTCTGCAGTTTCAGTTTTAGGACTTGAGACTGTGCTTATTCAACTGCTGGATATGTTCTACTGAAAAGTAATCAAAATTTCTCGAAGTTATCTCCTTAGATAATGCAAATATAAAATGATGGGTAGTACAACAAATCTATGCTTTATAGAGAAGATCACCCATATCCAGATTTTTATTTATCAAATTACTGTATGAATGGGTGTAACTTACTAGTGCCTGGATTTTTGTGATCAAACATTAGCAGCAAAATATATTGCTTGGTTGTGTTCTTTGTGGGGTTTGGGTTTTTTTTCTTTGCTGCACAATCAGGAAGGTTGGAATCAAATGCAGTGACATTCAGGAGTGTTTACATTCCTGGGTGTGTTTTACAGCAGTATTTATATGAAGTGTGTTAATTTCTAGTGTTTAGAGCAGGGCTTGACTTACATCTTTCTATTGAGCGGTTTGGAGACTGCTTTAAAAAACCTGTTGGGTCCATCTGCCAGTGTCTGTTTCCTTGCTGCTTTTGTATAGCATTGGATACATTGGTGCACGTGGGGTTAGCATAATCTCTTTATGGGGAATAAGTTAATACTTGACAGAATCGGTTACTAAATGTGTGTTTTTCCTGTAGTGCTGTGTCAGGATAAGAGCATTCCTGTGAGGCAGAAGGTACTAACTTTGCTCTGTCGGTTGGTGTGCAAGTTCACCATAACCCACATGCCACGCTGGGTTTTGCAATCACTCGGTGAAACGAAGAGGACTTCTGAATTTTCGGGCGGGGCTTTTGGGAGCAGAAGGGTTGGACTATTGCGAACACTGAAAGCTACCAGGACCCGATTCCCTTTCCGTGCCGTTCACATACTCACCGCATCTTCATCCCCATGCCTTCCTCCAGCCGGGGCGGGGGTGTGTTTGTGTGGAAGGATGCGGGGCGGGGATTTATCCCCGGCCCGGGGTCTCACCGACCCCAGCCACGCCCCGGCCACCGCCCTGCCAC